ATCTGCTTGACGCCCGCCCACTGGTGTGCTTCCGGTGCCTAGAGAGGGGGCACGTGCAGGGGCAATGTCGCAACCCAGTAAATCGGAGCACCATGTGCTACAGATGCGGAGGGGAGGGCCACAAGGCACAGGCCTGCACGGCGGAGGTCAAGTGTCCGGTCTGCAGCGCCCGGGGCCTCCCTGCGCAACACAAGGCGGGAGGAGCAGCCTGTCCCCTGCCGACTAAGAAGACGGCGAAGAAAGGTAGGCGGACGGAGACCATGGAACCGAGGGAAGGAAGACAGGCGGTCAAGGAGGCGACCAAAGGCACTCCCATGGAAACCGAGCCCCTGTTGGACATCCAAGGAGTCACCCCGGCAGTGGCATCCAGAGCAGGAGAAGGCCAGGAGGAGGCTGCTGCGGCTTCGCCTTCACGGCGCTGAAAGCGCTCCAGGCGAATCTAAACCACGCCTGCCGGGCTCAGGATTTGTTCCTACATAGCCTGGCAGAGCGTGGTTGCGGACTGGGCATCGTCGCCGAGCCGTACCGCGTCCCCAAGAGCCCCCTCTGGGCGGGGAGCGCGGACGGCTCGGCGGCGATTGTCTGGAGGAGGACGGGCGAGCGCGCCCCCTCCCTCGTGAAACTTAAGGCCGGGGAAGGCTGGGTGGCGGTCAAATGGGGGCCCCTGGTGGTAATCGGGGTCTACCTGAGGCCCAGCCTTTCTCGTGCCGAAGCGGAGGGGAGGTTGGAAGAACTCGAGGACTTGGTCCGGGAGTATCTCCCCGGGCCAATTCTGGTCGCCGGGGACTTCAACGCCAAGTCGGCGCTTTGGGGTTCCCGGCGGCCGGATGTTAAGGGCGCGGACGTGGAGGCCTGGGCGGCGCGCCTGGGCCTCCACCTAGAGAACGTGGGCGACGTAAGCACATGTGTAAGGCCGCAGGGGGAGTCAATCGTCGATCTGACGTGGACTTCCCCTGCGGCCGCGAGGAGGATATGTGGATGGGAGGTGGTGGAGGGCCTAGAGCTGCTCTCTGACCATCTCCCCATCCGCATAGACTTCTCCTGGGAGGACAGGAGGAGGGAACCCCAGGAGAAGGTTGTTAGGTGGAGGACGGAGAAGCTTGATCCGGACAAGCTGAAGGAGTCCCTAATAGCGGAGCTGTGGGCGCAGCCGAATCCTGCGCCCACGGTTGATGAGGAAGCCCAATGGCTGCAGCGTACGCTGATGAAGGCGTGCGACGCTGCCATGCCGCGTGCGAAATTCGTCGCCCGCAGGGCGGCCTACTGGTGGTCGGGGGAGATAGAGGAGCTCCGGAAGTCCTCGGTGGCCGCCAGGAGAGCCGTCCTGCGGGCGAGAAGGAGGAGGAGAACCCTCCCGGAGGAGGAGGCGAACCTCGTGGAGGAGTACCGCCAAAGGAGAAAGGCGCTACGGGATGCGATTAGGACGGCCAAGGAGAGGGCGTGGGAGGAGCTGATTAGCTCACTCAACGAGGATCCATGGGGGCGCCCCTACAAACTTGTCATGAACAGGTTGAGTTCGGGGGCGCCTCCTACGGTGGAGACTCTATCCCCACGCTTTCTCCAGGAGGTGGTCGAGACTCTGTTCCCGGCGGGGAACGACGGCGGTCCTCCTCCACGAGGCATGGAAAACGGGGGGGAGCATCAACAATGGCGGGAAGAGCTGGGGGTCACCCGGACGGAGCTGGCGCGAGCTGCTAAAAAGCTCAAGAGGGGTAAAGCGCCGGGTCCGGACGGGGTCCCCGGCATAGTGCTGAAGGCGGCCCTGGGGGAGCTCTCCGGCAGGCTGGAGGGGTTGTACACCCGATGTCTGGCGGAGGGCGTCTTCCCGGGGCCATGGAAGAAGGCCAGGTTGGTGCTCCTCCCCAAAGAGGGCAAGCCCCCGGACGAACCCGGGAGCTTCAGGCCGATCTGCCTCTTGGACGAGGCCGGGAAACTTCTCGAGCGCGTAGTGGCGTCCCGATTGATGGGAGCCATCGAGAACACCGGGCCCGGCCTGTCCGAGAGGCAGTTCGGCTTCAGGGAGGGGCGCTCGACCGTGGACGCGATAGTCCACGTGCGCGAGATGGCGAGTGCGATGATGGGGGATGGAGGGGTTGTGCTGGCGGTCGCCCTAGACGTGGCGAACGCCTTCAACTCCATCCCCCATCGAGAGATCGTGACCGGCCTGGAGAAGTTGGAGGTCCCCGGTTATCTGCGCGTGATAATCGGGGACTACCTCCGGGACCGGTCAATAGTCTGTGTAGACCGCGAGGGAGACTCCAGAACGTGGAGGGCGGACCGCGGCGTCCCGCAGGGGTCGGTCCTGGGACCACTCCTGTGGGACGTTGCGTACGACGGCGTATTGCGCGCGGCGCTCCCCGCCGGCTGCACGTGCGTGTGTTATGCAGACGACACGCTGGTGCTAGCCGGCGGGGAGGATTGGGGGGAGGCCATCGCCAGGGGCAACCTGGCGGTGGCCTGTGCCGTGAGGGCGATCAGGGCACTAGGGCTAAGGGTGGCGGCCAAAAAGACCGAGGCCGTCTTTTTTCATGACGGCTCGGCCAGACCGCCGCCCGAAGCTAGCGTCAGCG